GTTAGAGTTATCACACCTCAAAAAATAGTTTACCACTATACTTGTAGTTTTAAAATGTAACTCTTTAGTTTTCCATTTTTCAGAAGTAACTATAGTAGTAAACCAAGGAGATTGCTACACACAGCTTTTATACTGTGATTACAGCCGGGGGAAAGTACCTTTGGTGATACTTATCACACACCAACCAGTAGCTGCTGTGTCTTCAAAGTAGGGTTTAGAGTGTCCTTTTTATTGATTGGGAAACCCCATCAATGACCTCTCATTCCTGCTAGTTCCCAGATGTGAAACTTTGCTGCTGGGACAGTTGTGATATTGGCAGACACTCAATGTCGGTGTCTCCTCTTCTTCTCTTGTCCTCCCTTCCCCTTGCTATTCCCAAACAGCCTGATTGAAAAAGTGAAAATGAAAATAAAATTTAAAAACCCCAAAGGCATGCTGGGTAGGGCATAGGACAGGGGCATGGGGTTAAGGGGAAGTCTGGAATAGAGAACAATGGCAGAAGCAGCCCAGTCCTGCGGTTGACAAAATGTGTGATAATGGCTGCTCTGAATGTGTGATAATGGCTGGTATGTTTCCATTTTTGTTAACTGATGTGATTGTAGCTAGAACAGGGCTCGTGGTCATATCCCAAGACCCCCAACAGAGCTTGAGCCAGCACTTGAATCAAAAAGAATTCTTTCTCTGCTATTTTGGAAGACCACATTCATTAACTAATTAAGCAAAATGTTACTGTTACACTGCAAAAGGAGTGAAGTTATCACACATTAGGTTACACTGTAATATAACTTTATTATTCCTACGTTATTTTAAAAAGGAATTAGTAACAAGTAACTCATTACTTTCAAAGCTGTTTCATCTCAAATTAGTACCTTTCATCCCAGGCTGAGATATATCTGAACTGTGCACATGTGATCATATATATATATATGGAGCAACCTGATATTGCATCAGCTCATTGGTCTCTTTGTAAAGTACTATCTGCTTTGTTCAGCAGGTAATGTATAATAAGGGTTTTGTTGTTAACTGCCCTCAAGTTGATCTCGACTCCTGGTGACCCTATAGATGAGACATCTCCAAGACCCTCTGTCCTCCACTGCTCTGCTTAATTCCTGCAACCCCTTAATACCCATGACCTCCTTAACAGAGTCCATCCATCTGGCATGTGGCCTTCCTCTCTTCCTACTTCCTTCCATCTTCCCCAGCATTATTGTTTTTTCCAGAGTCCTGTCTTCTCATGATATGTCTGAAGTATGACAGTCTCAATTTTGTCATCTTGGCTTCCAGGAAGGTTTCTGGCTTGATCTGCCCTAGGACCTACTTGTTTGTCCTTTTGGCTGTCCATGGGATCCTCAGCACTCTTCTCTAGCACCATATCTCAAATGAATCGATTTTCTTCCTATCACCTTTCTTAACTGTCCAACTCTCACGTCATACACAGTAACAGGGAATACGATGGCTTGTATGATTCTTAGTTTTGTACTGAGTTGTATATCTTTGTATTTTAGAATCTTTTCTAGTTC